GGGGGCCCCAACGGCCAATCGCTGACCCCAGAAGCACTGGTGACAGTGGTGACACATAGGGGGTGCACTGGGGTACATGTGTATCCCCTAAGAGCGCTGATGCACCCCTTGACCGGCCATGCTTGTAGCAGAAAGCCCCCTTTTCCTCTTGCCTGCATTTGCTCTCCCCTCTTTAGATATGTTTCTCTTTTTCTACCTTTTCTTCCTTCCTCTCTCTTTCAGTATAAGATAAGGAATTGTGTTTTAAAGTTTGTATGTGAGTAGGTTATACATTGTAACAATGTTAACAAGGGCAGGAATCAAACTGCCCTTCCCTGTATCAGGCTGGCTCCTGAAAGAGTGAGTGAATCAGTGATTGAATGTGTAACGTGATTGAATGTGTAACATAGTAGCAGACAGCAATTATCACCTGGAAGCTGCAGATCAACCAAGGGAAGCACTCAATAGAAGACAATGTAACAACCGGGAAATCTCTAAACATCACTGATCAAGGGTTAAAAGCCCTGGCCTGAGTTAATCAACGCCAGAGACCAACTTTTGGGCTGAATATCTCCAGATCGACCACTCCCAGAGCCCAATTCTAAATTCATCAACAGACTCCCAAATCTGCACGTTCATGCGGACGACCCCTGGGGCTGACAGGTGTCATCCAGTAGCCACCGGGGCGGGGGGGAAGTCCCACAAGGGTCAATGACCCCTGGATTGGGCAAACCTGAAAACTGGGGAGTCACCAAAGTCTGCCAGGGACAGATGAAAGGCAGTGAAAAGTGACCCTCAGGGGCGCCCTCTTGATCTCCAACTCAACCAGACCTGTCCAGCCAGAAGGACCAGCCGGCAACCCCCTTCTGGAAGATAACACCAAACTGAAAGAAGCCTCAGCGACAGACTCCAGCGCTTGTAGGATAGGTATACCTGACTCTGTAGCCTGCTACTGTGTGTATGTGTGTGCATGTGTGCATGTGTGGGGACCAACCCCAAGGTTTATGATTACAGTGTTTCAATCCGCCTAATAAACTAGAATTTTAAGGATCCCGAGTTGGACATTTGTAGCCAACATGCTCACCACTTAGGTGATGGGCAGGGGGGCAGGCAGGAGTGCCGGTGCCCCCACTGCAAGCGCTGACCAATTGCTGCAGCTGCTCCCAGAAGTGGCCACAGCCACTCCCAGAAGCAGCTGCAGTGACTGGCTGCAGTGATTGGCCATCGCGGGATCAGTCACAGGGGTCCCCCTGGGTAGCAAGATTGACTGTGGTTGGCAGGACTTGTCATGGGGTGGGGGGGGCACATGCCCTGCCTGACTAAGGTGGCCACTGCAAGCGCTGACCAATTGCTGCAGCTGCTCCCAGAAGTGGCCACAGCCACTCCCAGAAGCAGCTGCAGTGACTGGCTGCAGTGATTGGCCATCGCGGGATCAGTCACAGGGGTCCCCCTGGGTAGCAAGATTGACTGTGGTTGGCAGGACTTGTCATGGGGTGGGGGGGGCACATGCCCTGCCTGACTAAGGTGGCACCAGTCACCCATTGCTGGAGGCAAACTGGAAGTGCCACTGGAAAAAACAGAAGTGCCACCAGTGATTCTCAGGGGGGGCACCAGCTGGCACTCCCTGGCCGGTGAGGGCAAATTTTTTTTTGGGGGGGGGGGGCACATGCCCCCCCTGTGCCTCCCCTACCCATTGCCTATGCTTCCTTCTGACGGTGATGGAAAAGGGTTTGAGTTGGTGGAAACAGGTAGTTTCCCCAACGACTCCGTGTCTGTCAGTGGTGGATTGGTGCCTAGAGATTGTTCAGGTGTAGGGTTATCAGTAGGAGAACACCCATGCAGCTGGTCCACATGACATCTCCAAACTCATCTTTCACCAGTCTAGACTGTATATGATACGGGTCCTGAGACACTTACAATTTTAAATTGAACCTACTGAGGCCCCTGTCCCATAGTTCCAAGCAAACACAGTCTCTTGTGGAACGAAAAAACGTAAGGTACCAAATGCCAATGCAGAGTCCAACTCTTTTTTTCCTGAACTGTCTCTCTCTCACAAGGTCTGGGTTAATATGCTCAAGGCATGTCTTGAGATGATGGCCCATAATAAGCTCTGATGGGCTGGACCCTGTTGTAGGGCAGGGAATTTCATGTTGAGCAAACAGAACTATCTGGCCAGTCTGGTAGGCCAGTCTCCTACAACAATCCTTTTCAGTGCATCTTTTGTGGTTTGCACCATTCGCTCAGTTTGCCCATTGGCCTGTGGCCTGTGAGGTGCAATGATAACAGTTCGAATTAAGTTGTGGCTGGCAAAGTCTTGGAACTCTGCTGAAGTGAATGTGCTCCCATTATCAGAAATGATAGTGTCGAGCACCCCATGGGTTTCAAACAGCTGACAGAGCTCTTATAGTGGCAGTTGATGTAAGAGCTGAGACAGTAATCACTTCAAACCATTTTGAATATGAGTCAACCACAGTTAAGAAGTTCTTACCTTGGAAAGGGCCAGTAGCATCAATGTGGATGAGTGACCAGGGTTCCTTTGTCATTTCTCACAAGAATACTGGTGCCTTCGGTGAATTATGATATGTTGCTTGACAAATACTGTACTCCCTTACAACCCTCTCTATGCCATTGTCCATACCTGGCCACCATAGATAACTTCTAGCCAGTGCTTCCATCCTCACAATGCCTGGATGTGCTGCATGCAGTGTTGTCAGTATGATTTGGTGTCCTGCTTCTGGGATTACAACATGATTTCCCCACAAGAGACACCCCTTGTGCGCAGACAGCTCATGCTACTGTGATGAAAATGGCTTGAATTTCTCAGCCCATTTGTATGCAGGCCATCCCCTCTACACCCAGTTAAGGACACAGGCAAGGATAGGGTCTTTTGCAGTCATCCTTTCTATTAGTGATCAGCCTGAAGAGGGGCTTCTGGCATGAATTCCAGCATGAGGACTTTCGCTGGCAAGGGAGTAGCACAATCAGGTATTTGTAGTGGTAGGCAGTTCAGTGCATCAGCATTTGCAAATGTTTTCCTAGGTTTGTACATAAGTGTACAGTCATGCATTTAGCATGATGCTCTTGCATTGCATATGGGGAGACAAAATAGGAGGAGTTGGTTTGTCCCTATTAAAAATTCCAAGAAGGGGTTTGTGGTCCATTTGGATTTCGAATTTGCAGCCATAA